GGACTCAGTTGAGGTTTGAATCAACTATTAGAGTGGATTTAGGACTCCCTGATTCCCTTCGGTAAAATCGTCCATTCCCCGAAACACATCCTCTTCTTTCTGTCCCTGTGAGCCCTCACTAAACTCTTCATGATGATTCAAACCTCAACTGAGTCGCCACTTTTTGAGGAAAACCACCGAAATGTCAAACCAGAAGTTGTCCTGATCTGAACCTAAACCAGACGGGAAACTAAAATCCAGTCCTCACCCCATCGGGTCCAAATCGGGCATGTCCCCCCTCCCCCCAAAAAAGTCCCCACAGAGTCAGAGTGGGAACAGGTTTATGTCCTCATAACGGGAGTAATGCAGGAGCATTTTCCCCATCCCTCCTGTCCTCCCTCAGAGTGAGAAATGAGACTCGGCAGGTTTGTTTTCGACATTAACTGCAGTTTTGACATTTAACCCCCCCAAAAAGAGGCTCAGAAACAATCTGAAACATCCACACATGGTTCTTCTCAGTGTTTAATCGTAACCGATCACAAACGGGGATAGTTAGCTGGAGAAAAAAGGGCAGAACTGGGATCTGGGATGTCCCACATTAGAATTCCCGTTTAATCCCGGGACCTTAAACACCTCACGGCTTGAAAAGAGCAGAAGAAGTGAAAAGCAACGCGTCAAGAGCCAAAAAAAAGGCTTCTTAGACCAGGAAACATCAACAAAACATGCCGGTGAGGCCTTTAATCCGCTTCCAGGTCCTGACGGGACTCTTCAGGTTACTGGAACTCATCATTTTTTAATAAGGCTTTGAATCAAAGGAGCAGACGAAAGGAGAAATAAAAATTAAATAGAGATCTTCTACATCTTGTCACAAAGGAATCTCAGCATTGTCGTTAAATGTTTGACTCAGGGAGACAAAAACCCTTTTAGGAATTCATCCATCTGAGGAAAGCTTTCTTTAAAAATGCAGTAAAATGCATTTTATGAGACATTTACCATAAAAAAATGTATTAAATGTGGACAGTTTGAGATATTTATGAGCAAAAACAGACAGCAGAGTGTGAACCAGACCAGACTCTGTGTGTGAACCAGGCCAGGTGCATTGTGGGAGCTGGGGTCCGTCCCCGGTCCGGCCTGTAGGGGTCCCCGCAGAGCTGAGCTCCCCGTTTAAAGCCCCCCCCCCCCCCCTGCTCTTTTGCCCCGGCTGCTGTGAGTCAAAACAAGGCGTCCCACATGACCAAAAACCGTACAAATACTGGAACGTTACATCATTTACAGCCACCAGTTCACAGTCAAACCACATAGTTTTGTCTGATTTTTTATTTTTTATTATTATTATTATTATTATTATTATTATTATTATTATTATTATTATTATTATTATTATTATCATTATATATATTATCATTATATATATTATTGTTATTGTTAGTATTATTATTATTGTTATTATTATTATTATTATATTACATTACATTACATTACATTACATTACATTACATTACATTACATTACATTATATTATATTAACGGTTCATAAGAGGGTTTTTCCATCCTGATTTAGATGATTAATTTTCCAGACTTGAAACTTTTTTGCCACTTTTTAACCTTTTTGCTATTAAATATTTCCTTGAAGTATTTTCTTTGTCCAAAGAAGGGCAAATAACTGGGAACTTACATGAGTCATTATACGAGTAATGACTTTACTAAACTAATGACTTTACTAACCAGCTATTTTTGTCAGATTTTTTACATTTTGGGGATTTATATTTGTTAAAAGTTCATGAGGGTTTTTCCATCCTGATTTAGATGATTAATTTTCCAGAATTGAAAACTTTTGCCACTTTTAAACCTCTTTGCCATTAAATATTTCTTTGAAGTATTTTCTTTGTCCAAAGAAGGGAAAAAAACTTGTAACTTATATGAGTCATTATACGAGTAATGACTAACTCTTATTTAATTCTTACTATGGAGGTTGTAAATCACAAAAGAACACAATGACTCATATTTAGATTTTTTTCTATACAGAAGTAACTTCATTGACATTTTTCCCTTTAACTGAGCACTAGAGGCAAAGTCTTAGTTCCTCTTTGACTGTAGAAAAAATGTTTTTCTCCCTCCGAAAAGCTCAGAAGTCCTTTATTTCCTTCATCCTAACTCAATAATAATGAGCTAATGTGAGATATTGTAATATTTTACTTCCGTTGATGTTTAAATGTGACTGGAACAGTGTTGATTTTAGCATATTTGGGGGAAAGCCTTTAAAAAAAACTTGAATCAGTCCGTCTGAAATAGGTTTCTGTGGCTCCTCGGCTATTAAAAGGTTTCTTTTCTCCACTTCTTCTTCTTCTGATGCTAAATTCGAAGCGACACGCCGTCTGACCAGTAAAAATCTTGCGTGGAACTCATAAAGTTTCTATCAAACGAACCAGCGTGGCTCCCTGAGCCTGTGGTCAGGCCTCCCAGAAACAAATTCATCACACTCCTGAAATACATAAAGAGGGCCTGAGGTATTTGTGCTGTGGGCTGGGTGTGAATTTGTTAGGTGATTAAGGGCTAAAAATAGCCTCCTGTCTGCTCCAGGCTGCAGACCGGTGACTCAATGTTCCTTTTACTTGCACCAAAATGGACAAATGGACCTGTGTTTCTATATTTTCTGCATTACGTACTGTCCAGCTCAAACTGACGTGCATTATTACGACATGATTTTTCTTTCTTATTCAGTTAACCCTTTAAAGCCTGATCCAAGAATAAAGCAACACAGAAAATGACTTTT